AGTTGAATCTCAGAGTCCAGAGGACATCAGTAGAGTGACATTTCAAGTAATAGGGGAAACAGTTGTCTTCTTGTCATGCCAATAGAGAAGATGAAGTTGATTTTACTCTTTTAACATAGATTTCGTTATAAAACTGATTAGCATGCAATCTGGGGAGGTGGCATTTGGATACGTCTTTCAGTGCACTGAGGAATAAAACCAGACTCTAATATTCCAAAAATTTCAATCTTTGGCAAAGTTGCAAGTGCGACTGGAAAAGCAAGATATTTTTGTGTGGCATCAGGAGTCTGGTAGGTGATGATGTGTAACACAACTAGTGAGAAAGGCATGGTGCTCCTGGTTGGCAAGAATATCCCCTGATTGCTGCTCTGCTGCTGGCTGCACTTGCTTGATTTTTTTTCTCTTTTCCTTCCCATTCTCCATATTTTAAATTCTTTTGTAATTATGGTGGAATTGAATGAAATGTGTTTTCATCCAAACAAAGGTTTGGAAGTGTTGGAGGTCATGCCTGCACAGGGAGCAGGTTCTGAACAATCTTTCTTCAAACTTTGCATCATCTCTACTGGACTTAATCTCTTATTTGGGCTGGAGGACACTCCAGTTGTGCAGGATCCTGTCACTTTGTCACGCCCTGCAGCGCTCCACATCCATCTCCCAGTGCTGGTGCTGCCCACAGCCCTGCTGCTGCCAGCTCTCCTGTCCTACAGCAGCTGCCTGAGGCCAGTACCACGGGGCAGCTGCTGGGTATAAATAGGAAGGGATCTTGTACATTTGCAGTTATTTAATGGAAAAAATGAGGTTTGCCAAAAGGACAAATCCTCAAGTTTCCTTCCACTGGTGCAAATCCATTTTTTTCAGTATCTGTGGCAGTATCAGAGACTGTTTTTTTCTTTCCACTATCTTACAAGCAATGAGGAAAATCACCCAAAAGCTGTGTAACCAAGGGCTGTGCAGAGAGGCCATTTCTTACTCCATTACCCCAAAAATGGAAGTTTCTGGGTTTGTGTGCAAGTGATTTCAATTTTGTAAAGTCCCCAGCTCCCTCCCTCTGTGGTTGAGTTCTGCAGCTGTTGGTTCCCCCTTGCCTGGGCTCAGTTCCCTGGCTGCTCTGCCCACTGAACCCCACACCAAGGGATTTCTCCTGCTCCACAGGAGTAGATAATTTTGAGTTTTCAGTGTGTCCTGCCTGTAATGTACAATAAGAAAAAAAGAGAAAGCAAAGCTGTGCAGACAAAAATCCCACCCTGAAAAATCTGCCCTGAAAGCATGAGCCATAAATAAAGCACACAGAGAGGAATTTTCTTTCTTCAATTTAATTGAAGTTACTTAGAAAAATAATCAGGCTTGAATGGCTTTTTTTAAGGAAAGATTCATGAGCAGTTCACACTTGTGTTGGCAATGTATAATTTATCTTTTTTGCTTTATTAACAGTATATTTAAGTATGAGGAGATACTTTTCTACAACAAGCCTTCTACTGCATACAAATAGGTTAAAAAAAATCCAACCCCACATTGATGTTAAATTATTCGTACACATTGTATTGTGCATGCATGTAAGAAAATAACACTCTCTGTAACAAGAGTAATAGTAAGGACAGTCCCTTTTTGTACCTGAAAAGTGCAGCAGACTACAGTGAAACCCTAAAACTTCTGGGGTCAACTTACTTGTAAAAGCACTTCTGCTTGTGGATTATTTATTTCACTTGTCTTAGCGCATGGTTCAGGCAGTTTGCACATTTCTGTCATCATGGACATGGTTTATGAAGAGGCTGAAGCATGGAGTGAGCCAGGTTTGGGGGAACATCCCACCACCCCACCCAGAATTCTCCACCATGTTCACATGGGCCAAATTCAGCCTGCACTCCAGGTTAAGGTGCTTGATGCCATTTGGCGGGGGGGAGCATGACCCCTCAGCTGTGGGTATCGTGCCAAGTACAGAGCCACCAGCACTGCTGGGCTCAGCGCTGGCCCTGCCAAATGACAGGGAGGCAACAGCTGCTCAGAGATGAGGATCACTGCTCCAGCAGTTTTGAGGGGGCTGGGGACAGAGGTGGGGAGCAGGAATTCCCCCACTGTGTCCTCTCTGTGCTCATCACTACTCAACATAATTGATGCACACCCTTGTACAACAGCAGCTTCCTGGGTGGCCCTTGCAGCCCCACAGGCACATCTGTATTTTACATTTTGCTGTGGCTCCATGCTGCCTGTTTGTCTCCCAGGATCTGCTGTGGCCACAGCAGAAATGGAGCTGGGAGAGCGGCAGAACTCAGCAGCAGACCAGCCCCTCGCCTCCTCCAGCTGGGAGACCCAGGGAAGAGTTGGAGGGTAAAACCAACCCGGTTCCCAGTGCAGGTGGTGGCTGCCAGCTCACTGACATGAGCATGAACAACCCTGAATGTCCTCCTGTGTGGCTGCAGCGGAAAGACAGATTTTTTGGCTCAGTCAAAACAGCATGCCCAATAGGCCAAAAGAAATGGGTATTCCTTAACATTTGTCATCCTGCTCTGAGCTGGTGAGGGCTTGCTGGTCACTGCACAGGACCATATCCAACATGCCAGTTGTTAATTTTAAACACAGATCTACAGCCCATTCACAGCACCTCAAAACAGATACAACACACTAAATAGCCAGTAGTAGTAGTTTGGGATCAAGGTTTTTCAAAAGCAAGTGACTTCAAGCACCCACTGAAGTCCACATAAAAGCTTTCTCAGTGCTGAGCATCCACCCATAGAGCTACCCTCTGTGGGGAGCCAGAATTTAGGTAATCCAACCCAAAGCTGTTGCTAAAAATCCTGGCTGGAGCAATGGTCATCAGATCTCCTGAACACATTTTTCACCTAAAGCTTTTCTATCACAGCTACCATATAGAGGTTTGGTGTCTCCAAAGCTGTGAAACTACACAGACTATTTCAGAACGCATAAAAATGTGGTGATGGTGCCAGAGAAAAGTACAAAAAGAAAGGGGGAAGAATACCCCGTTCTTTAAATGTTTACTTTCCATAGCAACTTTTGTCTTAAATTAAAAAAATCACATCACATTCTGCTGAATGGATTAAGAGCTGACAGAGAAGAAAACTGGACCAAAATATGAGCACTGTGGGATGCAAGACCAAACTAGCACAGAAATAGCTTGTAGGAAGTATTGAGGGGGGGGCAAGGAGCACCTGCCTCAGACAATTTTTTTTTAACAAACATACAACCATTGAACTAGGAACATAAAAGAGCCAGGGCACTGTGAGAGGTACAGCTCCACACACTCTAAATGAGACTAAACTGCTTTAAAGTAAAACACCAACCAGTAATCAGCAATGGATCAGGAATTCAGAGGGGTCAGCCAGCCAGCAGCCCCTTGTCAGCCACTGGCCCTGTGCTCCAGGTTATAAACAGGGGCTGGGTTATGAAAAGTGTGGCTGTTCCAGAATGAATAAGAGATTTAATTGTATTGTACGGTAGAAAAAATAATGACCTAAATCCTGCCTAGGACCAAATCCAATTGTGAAAGGACTTCAGTTGTTGTTTGTTATGTTAATTTGTTTTTCAATGAGATTTATTCAGCAACTTATTTTTATCAAATAAAATGCAAACTATTTTTCTTCTTTAATCACATCTGTGTCCTGGAAACTAATACAATTCAGTGGATATTACTGGCTACTCTACAATGTGACATTTTTCAGGATCTGGCTCTGATACTGTTGAAACAGCTCTGCCTTCAGCTGAGTTTATTTAAACCATCAGTCATTTTTGAAAGGGTTTGTTTTGATCAAAAGATTGACATGTAGGCAAGTTAAACCCCCCATTTTTAACCATCTATCAACTTTAAAACAGATTTTATATTTTCACAAGTGCCTCAATTTAGCCTCTGCCTCCTTTCGCCCATCAGCTGCCTGTGGATGCTGAGGTGGCTACAGAGCCTTCCCTCACCTGCATCCAACTGAAGCAAACATCTGGAGAAGCCTGAACTTCTGGTCCTACTAGCTGGCTAACAGATCCACACTGAAATCCCATTTCTCATTGTTTATCTGCTGTGTATAGATTAGTATTTGCTTACCCAAAACAATCTGCCATCCCAAAAAGCTGTTAAACACAAAACAACTGCTACTGAGACATTCCCCTTAAGAAAAAAGGTCATGGTCTTACACTAGAGATGACTTAGATGAATTTCTAATACATTGGAACTTAGAAAAATTCCTGTCAATGGCATTTAGGCATCAGCTAAAAAAGAAGGCTTCTCCTCCCTAGGAAAAAGCCATGAAACCAGCATGTAGGAAGATGAGACCTCTTTTATTGCCTTGCATGCTGAGAAAATCAACATGAAGATGACTTTTTGAATTTTCAAAAGACGTGCGCAGATTGTTTACAGCAATAAACATTGCCCATCTTAGGATCAATTAGGGAAGCACGACTTGAAGAGGATGGATGTCCCCACAGCTCCGTCCTGGATATGAATTAAGTCAATGCCAATTGCTTTGGGCATTCAAAAAATCTCTTACAGTCACTTTCCAATGCTGATTCTTTTCTGATGGATCATCCCCAATTCATCTGGGCTGGGACGCTTCAAATTAAGAGCCAGTGGGAGTGGCCATATTCTTAAAAACTCATTAAGACTTATAAAAGGAATCTTCCTAAGGTAACTTCCTAAGGAATACATTCACATTTCCTTCAGTCATGGGTCTTAGATACTCACAAATCTACCCAAATCTGGGCTACTTTTCAGGCCTAGAAAGACAGATTTTGTACTAGTATGGAGCACAACATCACTTTCTAAAGAACTTATTTTCACCGATCTTCTCAAAGCTTGTGGTTCCAGAACCATTCCCATATTTACCTGCATCAATGCCTAATGGAAGAATATTATTACCCAGAGCAAGCTGGAAATTGAGGAAAGCTAAAAACCAGACTCCTTTTGTCCACATGTTAGCCTATCTCTGCTGCTGAAGTGAAACCTACCAAGAGACAATGTTTTAAATAAGTATAAATAACATTAATTAGAACTGGAGGAATGCAAGATCAATGAAATTCACCAGAACACAATTAACATTTGTTTAAACAGTGTAGCAGTATTATTAATTTCTACAACTAGATCATCACAATCCCGTTACCCTGCAAAGAGAGCTGTCCCTTCTTACAGTTGATTTAAATAATTTTGACTGTGCTGCTCGCAGCATCATTCAAAAAAAGAAAATATTAATTTACAAAATAACCCATTCTCCATATTTATTATGACAAATAAAAATCTTAAATAAAACAGGCCTTCTCTCCCCTCTTTCCCCTCAACCCATCCCTCATTCCAATTTCAGGTAGCTTGGCACTGAGTAATTAAACATTAAAAAATCAAGTTTGTAGACTTCATACAGCTGCGTTTGGTGCAAGGAGCTGATATTCTGGAAGAACTCTGTGGTCATTTCATCAGTAGTTCTCGTAGACTTTGCATAGGTGGGAAATTTCAGGTAGTTGCCTACTCCTGCCAGCTGGAGAACGTAATTCGAATCGTCTTCGAGCGTTTCGTACTTTCCTATGAGGTCATAGTGGATGTGGCAAGGGTGGCAGAGGGAGTACACAGTCTGCCAGTGCTCGTTGAAGGGCTCTTCTCTTTGGGTGTGTGGGTCGATGAGATATGCCACAAACTCTTCAAATTTCACGTCATCACCTTTCCGCAGAGCCTCCTGGGTTGCGTTTTTCCTCTGGCGCCTCACGATTTTGGTGCCGTATCGTTTGTGGAAGGAAGTGTTGTACTTCTGGGTGAACTTGTTCCTGTAGGCTGACACCAGTCTTTCAAAAGGCTCGCGAACAAAGAGGAACTTCATGTAGTTTTTCAAGCGGTGGTTGATCTCTGGGATGCTGTACTGGTTGAGGGTCTTCAGGTTTGAAGACACATGGGCTTCGTTGGCCGGGATTTCCATCGGATCGCTGTACTTCCCTCTTCCCGTCAGAACCATCATGACTCTCTTCCAGTTTGTGCAGGCCACTTTGGGAACATAGCAATAGATCATTTCATGATCCTCATCCACGACCAGGTGCTTGAGATCATTGGGTGTCAGCACACGGCGCTTCCTGCTGGACACGCTGTTTGCTCGGCACGTGTCTGTCACTTGGTCTCGTCTGATTTGATGAAGAATTGCTGTGTTGGACAACTGCAAAGGAAGCACAGGGACCAGCAGGTCAAGGGCTGGGAAACTCTCAATGCCTTTTTTGCTTATTATACAAATTCATAGAAAAGCAGATCTTTCCCTGAATAGAATAATTCATTATGTGGCTGACTACAACTGACACTACTCTAGAAGATGAACTGTTTCTGTCTCAAAACTTCTTGATACACACTGATTAAATGCTGTTCACAGAGCATCCAGTGCTTTGCTTTGAAGACAATATTAAGGAGCACAAGTGCTCACACAACATGGTGGCAAATGTATTTACAGAACCCTCATCCCGAGATGTGGTCACTGCTTCTCTTAGGCCTGGAAAAAAAAATTTGCCTCCACTCTGCAGTTAAACCCACAGCTACAGCAGTGCTGGATCTTTTGCTGCTGAGATGGGGTAGGAAGATACTGGAAAATTTGACAAAATGAAAATACTGTGTGTTCTTGTTACTGGTGTCTTTTTGGTTAGAAAATTTAATAGTCATGGCTTGTTTCTTGGCTATGACCTTGAATATGGCATATACGGCTATGGCCAGAATAAAATGAAGTCCATGGATATTCCTGCAACTCGCCAAGAGGAAGATTGGTGTAGTATTGCATTTTATTTAAATGGTATGCTCTGTCTCACCCCTCCAAAATGTATGGTATATCCCAAGTCTGTGGTCCTGCCCTGAACCATCATGTACCTGTAATCCCATTGGCCCAAGTGTGATTCTGTGCCCATTTTCAATCCCCCTCTTAAACCATGCGAGTGAGACCAGGCGCTCTCTTAGCCTTTCCCCTCTCTTAGCCTTTCTCCCCTCTTGGCCCTTCCATCCCCTAGGCTCTCCCTCTCCCCCTCCTTCCCCCTCCCCCTTCCCCGTCAGTAACCACCATGCTCCCAGGGATGGGATCCCCAATAAACCTTCATCTGATCAGCGCCCTCGGAAGCCGTGTGGAGTCTCCTTGCCTGCCCGCTGCTGCCAGCCAGCTCACAGCCTAGGGGGCCCTCCGGGGACTCCCCGGGGTGCCCCCCCCAAAACGAACTGCAACAGATTCCTTCAGACTATGCCAGTGCAGGGCTCCTGTGTTTGGTTGTTCGGAGGTGTCTCTGCATGGCATGGGGTTTTTCTGTGCAGCCCTATCCTCACTGCTACAAATACTTTATTATTTATTGAGAATAAACTGCATCAAAGCAACAGTGGGAAGACGTTAGTAATGTTATTTACATTTATTTAACACAATTTACCTGTGAATTTTGAAGAACCTTATGCTCAAGAATTAATTTAGCCTCGAAGACAAGAATTAAGGCAAGTATTGACCTTCTTATTTGATAGGCAAGGAGGTCTGGGATTTCTTCTTGTATGCTGAGTATTTCAAAAATATTTATCTTGTACCTTCTTTTTGAATTAACAGGAATCACAGGACACTGAAAAGAAGTATTTGAGGCAGTGTAGACTCTATGCACCTGCTATGTGTGTTCCTTTGGTTATACGGGTCTTTCTCCCTGCCAGTATACCAGGAAAAAAAACAGTACATGCCAGGCAAAACCCTTTGTCCTTGGCAAATGGTTTTGCACCAGCTTGGGAGCTCATACTGAACCTCCAGTTCCTGCAGTCATGGGTCAAATCTCTGCTTTCAATAGCAGTACTTAGCCATGATTCGTATTTAAAAAACCCATCAAAACTCAAAGAACAGAATCCAAATGAACTTTAGAGTTGAAACCCAAATGAAACTACAAAATGGGACCAAGCCAGTCGCAGGATTTCTGAGCTTTGCAGAGAAAGGAAATGGAAATTGCTTTGTTACAGACTAGTGCTAAGAGCCCAAGTTTCACCCACCCAAGGGGCAGCAAAAGCTTTTGCTGCACGTGAGCAACAGAGATTTTCCCTCTGTCTGGGCTGTGGTGGGTTGCAGAGAAATGTCTCCATGGTATGAGCAACATCAAGGGGCTGGTGCAGCTCAACTCTGGGCAGGAGGACTTTTCCTTCAAGAGAGTGCCAAGCCTGGGACCTCTGTATTTTGCACAGTGCCACCCACCACTTCTCTGAATTCCCTGATACTTTCCTCATCTCTTTTGCTTCCTGTTCAGCAAAATCCTGGCTAGTGGTTAAAATGTGCACTAGCCCAGTGCAGTTCTTTTAGACAGCCTGGCTTGTCTTTTGTGTGTGTGTGTGGTATCCCCCTGGATATCTCCCAGGTGCACTTCAAGGGCAGTTTTATGTAACAGTCAAAGAGATGAGAAGCCAGATGTGAAATGTGCTTCGTACTTCCTAGGAAAACTGACTGGCAGGGAGTTTCCAAACTAGATGTTAGAAAGCAGTTGTCAAGGACCCCACACAGATTTTTCAAGAAAATTACTTTTTCTGTTAAAAAAAATTTCCCTCTTTCAATTTATGGCATCCTCAGAACAAAACAGAAGTAATGGATCTCAACTAGCTCTATACTGGTTAGTTACCAGTCAATAATTTTCTAAGAACTAAACAAAACCCTATGCAAACACACAGACATACAGATTCTCTTTTGCAAATAAAAAGCTGAAATCTCTCCTCCTGCAGATTTTCATCAAAAAACATATAGCACAGGAGTGCTGTTTGCCCCAGGTTTTAGAGTTAAAAAAAAAAAAAAAAAAGCCTGAATATATTGCTACATTATAATATGTTAATGCACTGTATCTAATTTTCTGGTGCTGTTCTTAGGATAAATACAGAATTAAGTGGATGAGATTCTATGGTCTGTATTAGATAGAAGGTCAGATTTGATAATCTAATAGTTGCTTCAGACCCTAATCTGCAGATGAATCTTTGTAGAGCTGTGCTTTGCTCCTGATTTCATTCCTCCATCAATACGCTAAGCACTTCTTCCCCATACATTAACATTAATGAGATTTTCAGACATTTAGAGTAAGGGGGAAAATGCAGCCTTAGTATTTGCAATTACCAATGAGCTTGTACTATATTAAATTAATTTAGAAGATTACACTTGTGCATTTTCAAGTGGTACTTTCCTCTCATTCTTTTTAACATGGAAAAATATGAAGAAATGACATAAAAACCACATTTACTAAGTACATAACAATGCCCCAGGGTGAACCGTGCATGTGCTCTGGCCTGCCTGGGGGCACACAGAGCGCATATTAAGTAGCAATGCAACAGTAAAAGGGGATTGTCTAGTTCTCATCAATGACAGCACCCTTTGGAATGGCTGATGGATGAAGGGCCACGTAGGAAATAGAAAGCTCGACTTCCTTTTTCTTTTACGTTACTGACTTCAGTTTATTAAAAAAAGAAGAAAAAGACAGAAGACCAATCTAGTGACTGTCTTAGAACAATGCCAACTGTATCAAAGCCCATTTCTTCTGCAGCTGACTAACATACCTGATGCACCCTTGAAAAGCTGGCCTACCTGCTTCCCCCAGAGACACAGGGTCCTGCTGGCTGTCCTCGAGGTTTGATGGCAACAGTCCCCTTGCTGAAGGAGTGGCTGATAGGAAAGCCACATTGACCCTGCCCTAGTGAAAGGCCATGGAAGGCACCTGAGAGCCTTTACTGGAATCCTGAAAGAACCACCAAACTCTGCTTTGCACAAAGGACATGCTCTGTGGACTCTAGAGTCTACAGCACCATAGAAGGTAATCATAAGAGCATTTTCAATTTAGTATTTTGAAACCATACATTAACAGTGAGTTAGATGATGGTAATATGGTTCCTCTTCTTTTAAAGTTACAGGCAAGGTTTTTAAGCCACATAACAATTTCACTCCTGAAGCTGGTAAGGGGACCTGGAGAAACAGTAAGTTTAAATGAGACTGGAAACACATTTGTTTAAACTAGAGACCCACTTGGCCAGGGAAAAAGTGCAAATGTGCTCACAGCTAATGAGGAAAATATACCCCACAAATTTAAGCAGCCAAGGAACAGGTATCTTTAAACCCATGGATGGTGAAGGACAGACAAACAATTGGGGTCATGGGCTTTTCTTCCTCCAAAGCTGTAACAGATGTGGCTACAGCAGTCATGAGCGTGCAGCTGCTGCCTGGACACTGATGGCTGTGCCCGTGCTCATTACCAGAGGTCCCTGCTGACCCCTCAGTTCTAGAAAGCACAATAAGTAATGGTCTAAATCCACTTTCAAGCCTGTGCAGATTACCCTGACAGCAGTGTGGGGATGGTGATAAAGTCTGTGCTTGGGTGTGTCCTCTGACAGTTCAACTTTGACTTCATCAAGCCATTAAAGGTTTTGGGAAGACATCTGATAAGAGCAGCTGTTCTCCCCTGAAAGGATTGACACCAGAGATGCACTTAATAATGTTTTTATTTTCCTGCAGAAGTTGTAAAGGGGGACAGAGAAGAAGGGCATGTCAAGATCAAAGCTTTCGTTCCTTTTCTGATGCAGCAACCAAGTTGAACAGTGGATTGACATGAGCAGCAGGAGACTTCTAAGCTCAGTGGCATTAAAAGAAGAAAAAAGTAGTCTGGGGACACTCTGATCCCAGAAGCTCCTCATCTCCATCAGTCCCAAAGTAACAACAGGGGACGAAAGTCCAGCACTCTCTGCCCATGTGGATGTCTTCTGTTCAGTGGAAGGTGGGGTGTGTGTGCAGGGGTGGGGGAAAGAGGGTGTTCTGTGGAGGGCACTAGAGAATATGCTGACCAGAAATGCATATGCTGACCAACTGGCGGTCATCAACTCATTACAGGCAAAGGCTATTCAAGGTAAACCAGAGTAATGAGATGGGAGGCATTTCCTTCTGGCTACTTAGGCACAGCAGGATAAAGTAATCTTTGAAGACCTTTCCAAGCTTGGCGGCCAAGCAGCAAGTACAGATTTAAACACGAGGATTTTTTTTTATTATTATTATTATAGTAGTCTACTGAAAACTAGGTGCAGAGATCAATTCAATTCACAGGTACCTGCACTGAAAGCAGTTTTTTTAATAGAAGGATAGAAATACTGAAATGTCACTCAAAAAGCCCATTAATTAAATTCTGTCTCACTATAAAAATTATGGTGGAA